AGAAAGAGTACAGAGAAGAGCAACAAAGATGATCAGGGGACTGGAGGCTAAAACATATAAGGAAAGGCTGCTGGAATTGGGTATGTCTAGTTTAATGAAGAGAAGGACGAGGGGGCAAGTCTTCCAATATCTCAGGGGCTGCCACAAAGAAGAGGGAGTCAAGCACCTGAAGGCAGGACAAGAAGCAACAGATGAAAACTAACCAAGCAGAGAAGCAACCTGGGATTAAGGAGAACTTTTCTGACAGTGAGAACAATTAACCAGTGGAACAACCTGCCTCTAGAAGCGGTGAATGCTCCAATACTCGAAGTTTTTAAGAAAAGACTGGACAGCCATTTGTCTGAAATGGTATAGTTTCCTGCCTGAGCAGGGGCTTGGACTAGATGACCCCCAAGGTCCCTTCCAACTTTATTATTATTACTTCTGAGGGGAAGAGTGCCACACTGAAGATTTCTGGAAAGGGTGTGGGGAAGTTGTTTTGTCTTATTTCTCTACAGGAGACCTAGGCATTTTACAGCCACTGGGCCACATTTGGCTCCTTTGGCTGTCCCTGTCTGGCCCATTTTGGATTGCTTTAATTTTGAAAGCGGTTGCCTTTTTTTTTTTTTCAAATTTACGTATGTCCATGCATGTACTTTCATAGCCCTATTGGTTCAGCCCTCCACAACAATCCTAATTTCTCATGTGATCCCTTGGGAAAAATTAATTGCCCATCCCTGATCTACAGCAGTTCTCTGGGTACTGATGTTAATTGAATTCTTCAGGCTGTGGATCAGGCTTCGCTTCCACAGACCAGTTTTGAAAAGGATCAGATGTCTATTAAAACTGAGCCAGAACAGGGTTCTGGGATTATGTCAGGCTTGGGAGTATGATCATTTCTCTCAATAAAGGGGAATATTTGTAGGGTTGGACTCTGGGGTCCTGGGTGCTCTCCGAGTTTGGTTGTTTTCTTGCAGATGTTTCATTACCCAAATTAGACAACATCATCAGCGCTAGTGACAATTTCTCTATGCACACATACAAAACCCACATTTTAAATTAAAAAAAAAACCATGATCTACATCGTTTCTAAGCTGGCAAGAGAAATCACCTATATAATTACAGGTAGTCCCCAATTTACAGCCATTGATTTAGTGACCAAAGTTATGGCACTAAAAAAAAAAAAACCTTATGAACATTTCTTGCACTTATGACAATGACAGCATCCTTAGTCACTTTATCAAAACTTGGGCACTTGGTAATGGGATCGTGGGATTGCCATTTGCGACCTTCCCAGTCAGCTTCTGACAGTCAACAGGGGAAAGCCAGACTCATTAATAATAATAATAATAATAATAATAATGATAAAATTGGAAGGGACCTTGGAGGTCATCTAGTCCAACCCCCTGCTCAGGCAGGAAACCCTATACCATTTTGGACAAATGGCTGTCCAGTCTCTTCTTAAAAACCTCCAGTGTTGGAGCATTCACCACTTCTGGAGGCAGGTTGTTCCACTGATTAATTGTTCTGTCAGGAAGTTTCTCCTTAGTTCCAGGTTGCTTCTCTCCTTGATCAGTTTCCACCCGTTGTTTCTTGTCCTGCCTTCAGGTGTTTTGGAAAATAGCTTGACTCCCTCTTCTTTGTGGCAGCCCCTGAGATATTGGAACACTGCTATCATGTCACCCCTCGTCCTTCTCTTCCTTAAACTAGACATACCCAATTCCAGCAACTGTTCCTTATGTGTTAATGACATTAAATTAATAGAATAGAAGCTGGAAGGGACTTTGGAGGTCTTCTAGTCCAGCCCCCTGCTCAAGCAGCAGAGCCAATACTATTTCATACGACTGTCCAGTCTCTTCTTAAAAACCTCCAGTGATGGAGCGCCCACAATTTCTGAAGGCAAAGCTTTCCCACTGGTTAATAGTCCCCAGTTAGGAAGTTTCTCCTTAATTCCAGGTTGCTTCTCTCTTTGATCAGTTTCCAACCGTTGTTTCTCGTCCTTCCCTCTGGTGCTTTGGAGAATAATTTGACCCCCTCTTCTTTGCGGCAGCCCCTCAAATACTGGAACACTGCTATCATGTCTCCCCTATTTTTTTTCTTTAGACTAGCCAAACCAAGTCCTGCAGCCGTTCTTCGTATGTTTTCGTCTCCGGGCCTTGGATCATCTTCTCTGAACTTTTTCCAAAGTCCCAACATCTTTTTTGTTGTACGGTGACCAAAATCTGTTGCAGTTAAATGATGGTTGCATTAACAACCATGTTGCTTAGCAACAAGAAATTCTGATTTCTAATTGTGGTGGTGAAGTCGAGGAATGCCTGTATTCTTCTGTAGCCTTAACTGATCCATTATTAGCCCATCCTAGTATTTTCATACATTTGCTCAAAGAATGTTCCAAAAGCAAATCCTCTGATCCACTAATATGGAGGAACATGCTACAAATACCAAGCAAGTGACAGGTCAGCTAACCATCAGTTCAGGTCAAAGTTGATTTCGGTCAAAGACCAGCATAAAGGAAAACAATTAACAAACTGAACTAACCACCGTATCTTTTTCCTCCTTTCCCCCATTCCTGATAGGACTTTTTATTTATTTATTTTATTTATTTATTTAACTTACCCGGTAGAATGTGAATCGATGGAGGCCAGTTTACCTATTTGATGAACAGAGTGATAGAGAAAATATAAATGCCCTAAACAGATATTCCTCGACTTACGATCACCATTGAGCCCAAAATTTCGATTGCTAAGTGAGACAGTTGAGTTTTGCGCCGTTTTATGACCTTTCTTGGTAAGTTAATCACTGCAGTTGTTAAGCTAGTAACATGGCTGTTAAGTGATTCTGGCTTCCCCATTGACTTTGCCTGTCAGGAGGTCGCACAAGGTGGTCACATGACCCCAGGACACTGTAACCATCTTAAGTACATGCCAGTTGCCAAGTGTCTTGAATTTTATATCACATGACCAGGGACATGCTGCAACTGTCCTAAGTGTTAAAAACAGTCATGAAAGTCATTTTTTTCCCATGCCGTTGTAACTTTGGTCACTAAACGAACTGTTGTTAAGTTGAAGACTACCTACACTACTTTATCTCTATTAGTCAAATAGGACTCTACAGGTAGTCCTTGACTTACGACCACAGTGGAGCTAAAAATTTCTAAGTGAGACCTTTTATTAAGGGAATTTTGTCCCATTTTACGACCTTTCTTGTCCACCGTTGTTAAAAGTGAATCACTGCCGTTGATAAGTTAGTAACTTGGTTCTTAAGTGACTCTGGTTTCCCCAATGACTTTGTCGGGTCACAAAAGTTGATCACATGACCTTGGGGACACAGCAATGGTCATCAATACGGATTCCTAAGCCATCTGAATTTTGATCACGATTATGGGAATGCTGCAAAGGTCGTAACTGTGGAAAACGTACAAGAAAAAGTTATGTCGCTTTTTTCAGTGCCGTTGTTAACTTTGAATGGTCACTAAATGAATGAACTGTTGTTAAGTCGAGGACTACCTGTACTTATTTCAGGGGTAGGCAACCTTGGCTCTTTTATGACTTGTGGACTTCAACTCCCAGAATTCCTGAGCCAGCCACGCTGAGGGGAAAGGGAGAGGCTTCCAAGCTGAGCCACGCTGGCTCAGGAATTCTGGGAGTTGAAGTCCACCAGTCATAAAAGGGCCAAGGTTGCCTACCCCAACTTAGTTCTTCTCAGCATGCTTACCCAGTGGTTAAATTGGCACCACCACTTACCTCTAGCAACAGACAACTTCCTCATCTGAAAAGGAAGTTTGGACTTTGTTCCACAAAAGATTAAGGGGGACGGGACTTTCTGTCTTTTGTGGAACAAAGTCCAAACTTCCTCTCTCTTTTTGGAGCAAGGCATCTAGGACAGCATAACCAAACCAAGATTTGAGTCCTTCTAACGTTGGGCTAGAGCAGTGGTTCTCAACCTTTTTAATGCCGCGACCCCAACCGGTCGTAAGTCAAGGACTAAACCGGTCGTAAGTCAAGGACTAAACCGGTCGTAAGTTGAGGACTTTCCCTGCCCGGGAGCACCGCACATGCGTGGTTCCGCCCCCTGCGCCGGCTGAGGCGTAGCTGGCAAGCGGCAGAGATGGAGCAGGCCGACCACCAGCTGGCCCAGCCCAAGGGAGGTAAGGCACCCGCTGGAAAAGGGGGAAAAATGGCGGACAAAAAAAATGGCGGACAGCGTTGCCTGGCGACCCCCATGAAATGGTCGATCGACCCCAAATGGGGTCCCGACCCACAGGTTGAGAACCACTGGGCTAGAGGCTGTCTACCCCACCACCAGCCTTAGCGTGAAGCTCTCTATTGTCTTTGTAACCCAGCTTAGTGAAGAAGGGAAGCGGTGTGAAGAACTGGCAGTAGCCTGAAGGCTAAATAGGGAGGGCGAGGGGAGAAATAAAAGAACGTCACACTTGCTAAGTAGGTATTATTTATTAAGGCTTGTATTCTCCTAGAGGAAAAAGTTAATCTGATGCTGTTCCATTACTCCTTACATCAGAAGTAACAGACAAAGCTATATGTTCTAAATACAAGTCTAAATGATACAGCTTAAAACTTTCATTTAAATTGGAGGTCCTCTTGCGTAAATATTGTTTTTCAGAAGATATCTGCTTTCTAATATAAGTAAAAGATTCTCTACAATTAAACACGTGCAGATTCAATGTGCTAGAGCAACAGGCATGAGCACCAAGAATTCATGCTAAATTTTTTGAAAAACTCCGGTTGGTGGCCACTTCTTCCGACAGCTTCCTCATTCCACAAAAACATGACAGAAGATTCATTTCTTAAAACAGCTGTTTTTACTCATCCAACAGAAAAAAATAGGCACACGCACACACAATCAATTTTAAACATCTGAAGCATAATCCATCATATAAGTCTGAACTAAGATTCGAGATTAAAGCTCACCATTATTAATATAAAATCTCAAGTGACTTCCTCAAGGGAGTGAGTGGTGGGGGGAAACAGGGGGGGGGGGCAGATTAAAAGTAATGAATTTAATAATATTAAAAAGCAGGGGGGAAATTAAAAAGCCACGTTTCGCCCAAGCCCCTGCAATGTTGAACACATACTTAAATGGTTAAAAGCTACAGATAAAGCAAAAAAAAAAATTATGGTAGGAAATTTGTCAGCTTTTTTTTTTTGCAAGATATGATACAAAGCAGATGTTCACTAATGTTCACCAATTATAGACAAAATAATTTAAGACGTAAAGTACAATCCATGAGGAATATTTCTCATGCAATATCCACACAAAAATAATAATAACTGCAAATGATGAAAATGTACAATTGTGTTTGTGTGAAATCCCATCTATACTTCTTGCATGCGAAATTACCCCTGTGAATTAATGCCTTTTTGATTTTCCGTAAGGCAGGCAGAAGTATACTTTCGACATTTTTTCAAAAATAATGAATGTGACAGATAAAATTGAACTTCATAAAATAACCTGAGCTTGGCTAAATTAAATGTCAATGTTTTTTGACACAGGTTATTTCTCAAAAATAATAATAATAAAAAAAAATAAAAACCCCAACCGATATTTGCGTTTCTACTTCCCAAACCGACTGTGGGAATGGTGAGACAAGGGGATCTGTGGTACGTAAATATAAAAGCAATGACTCTTCAGATTAGAAACATAATTTGTGCTGCAATTAAAAGTCTTTGGAAAAAAAACGCTAAATATTTTCAAAATCTTCAATTGCAGATGAACTTGTTTAACCAACTTAAAAAAAATTAAAAAAAAAAACGAGAAACATCTTTATTAATGGATTCTACAGCATTTTACACAGAAAAGATTACAACTTAATGCATATTCAGCTGGGCAAACAAAAAACAAAAACCAAAACCCCAACCCCTCCCACTAGTGTACTTAAAAGATGCAAGATTTGAATTTTCCCCTGCAAAAGAGAGATATTGGAGCTGAAAGCTTTATAATCTCCTGATGCCAGAATACACAGCACCAAGGCATTTTTAAAAAAAGATTCAATTTTTCATAATCAAATTTAATATCAGTTCTAGTATATATATATATGTATATATATATAGCAAACCATATATGCTTATTCTTATTGTTTATTTTGATTCTGACGTTCCTGCAAAGAGAAAAACAGGAAATTAGAATGTGAAAACCCATTAAAATCTCTTTACCCGTCCTAATTTTTTTTTTTTTTACAAGCCACATCATGCTAAAATAACGGGACACCCAATCTTTTTAAAATTTTAATTTCGTTGCGTGTACACTGTGCCCTGCATATGATGTAACAAGAGTGGCTTATAATAAAACACAACAAGGAAACCGCTTTCATGCCATGCTATATATTTTAAACATATCACAATATAGCTTTTCGTGATAATAATTTCAACTCCTAAAGCCTAAACTAAGATACCTAAAGGTAATGTTTTCTGTAAAATTAGGTAATACTCCAAATATAGAGAAGTACATTTCTTTGTAAATTACAACACCTTAAAAACCAGGCTTAAGAGGGGTATACTTTATAGTTTCTAGAACTCTATAGAAAGTGATGTAATCCATGATACATTTAACTATCTCTGCTGGGGGTGTCTTCACAGCACGCCAGAAAATAGATATGAATGGATTATATAATGCGGAAACATTTCAAGAGTATGAGGAACTTTAATCTGCAGTGTAGCCATCTTCTCCATCAGAAATAGGTACCATAAAGTACATCGTTTCAGCACAGACACACAAGCCTGTTACTTCAAGGGCAGAAAAACATTCATGGCTTGGCTCAAAGGTGCTTTTTCAACTGGATTTTGTTTTTTCCTTGAAGACCTTTCGCTTCTCATCCAAGAAGAAGACTTCTTCAGTTCTCTGTTCGGTTCAACTGACGAAGCTTCTTGGATGAGAAGCGAAACATCTTCAAGGAAAAAACTAAGCCCAGTTGCCTTTGGAAAAAACACCATGACCTGGATGACTGAGAATCTCCATAGAGATTTTGTGACTTGGGACCTTCTTCCGTGAAAACTCTCTGAATCACAATTTTAAAAATGGTGGCTCCAGTATCCTGAACAAGTGATGGCTTCTGTTTGGATATGATCTTCAACAAGATGGTATAGCATCTATTTCCCATTCAACATCCTCTCATTCCTATTGATTTCATGCTTACAAAGGGTTTAAATTAATAAAGAGTTTGGCTCCTCAACTCCATTTTTTAAATGTTTATAAAGGCCTAAAACCTTTGTGAGTGAAAACCCCTTGGCTTATCAACAGGATATATATATATATATATATATATATATATATCCTAAACAAGGTAAATCATGCAAATATTTTCAAGGGTACTTTAGACCTGCATGTCTTCAAGAATAGTCTCAGCCATTTGCTGGTTCTGCATCGCTTCTGAAACTGAATGGGATCTTTAAAACAGGGAAATACAGTACTGGAAACATGTAATCTTCCAAGTTTGCTCAAGCTGATGATCACTCCTTAGAAACAATACTACGGGTACTGCAGCCACACACTTTACTGCCTAAGGCACCATGTTTGCACTAAAAAAAATAGACTACCTGGAAGCTTCTACATTACAATAACTCCAAAGCCACAATCCATGGTTGTCTTTTAAGGTGACAGTAGCAGAAAATGATATACAGAAATCAAGTTTATTTTGCACCAAGAAACCTGTTTTTTCCCCTGTAGGTATCGGTTATATGCATTAATTTATGTGCCGGTCTAAATCTAATTGCTCTGTTGTATTCTGTAAATTATTGGCAAATATTTGATAGTTACTGGTATAGCTGAAATAACATTTTTTGGGGGGGTAAAATAAAACCTATTAAATAATGCCATATAAATACAATAACCTGTCGTGCCTTTATTGCAATGCAAGGTAAGATCATTTTGTTCTATGCTTCAGTGTAAACAGTTTAAGCTGGTTCAAGCTCACTGAAATTCTATGAGCAAATATTCAGTTGAGGACATTATCTTTTGTTCCTGATGGAATTGCGAAGTAAAGGTTCCACCTGAAATTTCAGGTAATTCAATTAAGCTTACAAAAAGGACAGAGATACTCTGACCTTGCATTTATTCCTGAGCAGAACCACCATCCTTATGGCGTTTCTGAATTTATCTACAGCTCCCAAACTAACGTCATCTTCAACTGGACTCCACTCCTGATGACATATACTGCCATTATTTCTGCCACTTTCTCAGGGTGATCTGAAACTACAGGTAGTCCTCAACTTACAACAGTTCATTTAGTGACCATTCGAAGAAAAGGGATTTATGCCTGTTTTTCACACAACTGTTGCAGCATCCCCATGGTTAGTTACATGATCAAAATTTGGATGCTGGGCAACCGGTTCATATTCACGACGGTTGCCGTGTCCTGGGGTCACGTGATCCCCTTTTGCGACCGCCTGACAAGCAAAGTCAACGGGGGAAACCAGATTCACTTAATAAGCATGCTACTAACTTAACAGCTGCAGTGATTCGCTTAACAACTGCGGCAAGAAAGGTCGTAAAAAAGGGCAAAATTCACTCAACCACACTCTTGCTTAGCAAGGTAAATTTTGGACTCAACTATGTTTGTAAGTCAGGAAGGATCTGTAGTTTGCCTTTGCTTTTTATCTATATTTGCCAGACAGCATCCATCCCCAACTTTTCAGTTAGTGTCCTATTCAAATAGGAAGCTAAGTCAGCCATACTTGATTAGATGTTGCAATCTACCTGGGCATTGTGTAGAATAAAGAGCTCTTAAAACCAGCAACTATAAGCCTTGACACCAATGGAAAACTGCAGCTGAGATACAATCTTGTGCAGTAGAACCAACCATTGTTAGCAGCAGCTGATAAAAAGAAATTAATTCTGTAAGCCTAATGGGCACCTAACTCTGTGGCTGATTAATATAAATATACAGAAACATCCCCCAGATCTCACTTTTAGCAATGAACTCCGTGTCATAGTTAACTCTAGTTTACTCACACCTCTAAGCTTTTGTGCTTATTTTATCCTTCATGTTTATTTTATGCCAGGTTCCTGAAAACTCATGAGATCTACCATAATGTGCATTTGCAATTTTTCTTTTTCTTAATAAGGATAAATCTTATCTTGCAGCATTTTGGAGAAACTAATTTAATCAGGCTACGCTTCTATTTTGTGCTATGGCTTAGTTGTTAATGCCCTTAAGAGATGTTTGATAAATCTCATTTACAGGTGAACTTTATAATCTTTGCCATAATGCTTAATTGAAGATGTACTATCACAGATTTTCCCCAACCTTTCAGGGTTGGTGGCCTGGAGCTGGTGGGGGAGGGGGGTTGGGAGGAGGTATAGTTTTGTGGACATGAGCACTTGCACGAATGGGACCGCAAATGAGTGCGCCGCTCACACGTGTATGGCCACAAACACTCGCCCAAGTGGGGCAACAAAAGCCCGCAATATTCATGTGAGTTGGGCCGCAGACATTCGCGTTGAGTGGGGCTGCAAACGCCTGCGGCGCTCACGGTGACGCTTGCGTGAGTGGGGCCGCAAACACCCATGATGCTCGCATGAGTGGGGCCACAAACACCCATGGCAACACTTGCACAAGTGGGACTGTGTGCTACACATGCGGCCCCGTGGCCAATAGGCCGTGGCCCAGTTTTGGGACCCCTGTACTCTCCTATTGTATTAATACTCTTCCAATCAATTAATTTTACAAATATTAAAATAGCTCCTGTAATTGAGAAGTACACTATTTTTTTTTCCTAAATATGAGTGGTGTGCAAAATTTCAAATTCAAAATACTCTGTCGAGATCGAATCAATTGTTCTGTGTTTGAAACAGGCTTGCTCAATAATTCTGAAAGCACAATGAGCTTGAAACACCTCAAAAAAAAAAAAAAGTTGAAACAGACCACTTTGAACATCAAATAATTGCTTTTAGACAAAATGTGGCATTCTGGATTTGTAAGGTTCTGCATGCCTGTGCTAAATAGATACCAACATCCAATTTGTATAAAAGGCTTTCATTTCCACATGGATACTTCTCAAGCCCTTTCTTCAATTAGCAGCCAGAATGTCCCACATAAGGGACAAAAAACTGCCAATCGTTGAGTTTCTTTCTTGCACTCCTCTTTAAAGCAGAAAACATCTTCCTCGCGCATGGATGAGCAATTTATATTTCACTTATAGATAGTCCTCGACTTACAACAGTTCATTTAGTGACTGTTCTGTTACAATGGCACTGAAAAAAGTGACCTAGGACCATTTTTCACACTTATGACCATTGCAGAATCCCATGGTCACATGATCAAAATTCAGTCATCTGGCGGCTGACTCGTTTTTATGACAGTTGCAGTGTTTCGGGGCATGTGATCCCCTTTCTGACATGCCAAATCAGTGGAAAGGCCAGATTCATTTAACAACCATGTTACTGCAGTGATTCACTTAGCAACTGCGACAAGGTCGTAAAACGACGCAAAGCTCGCTTAGCAACAGAAATTTGGGGCTCAATTGTGGTCGTTTTAAGTCGAGGACTACCTGTATTTTCCAAGCCCTGTACCAGCCTACATCCATTACAGCACTGAAAACTAAGCCATATTTAACAAAGCAGACACATCTCAAACCTTTTGGCCCATTACAATAAAGCAGACTGGAAAAAAAAAAAGCTGTAGGGTTGAAGCCTTGTGGGTTAAATCTGAAGAATGTGCAATATCTATCTTCGAAATAAGTTTTTTTTAAAAATAAGTCCCTTTGCAAACACTCAACTCCATTTAACCTCCAGGGTGGACTTCCCCCAACTGAATTAAAATGTTCTAAAGCCAGTTTACCTTTCGTACCACTTCTTCCTCCTCCTGGCGCTTTTCGTAATGGGAAAAGTCATCAAAGATGGAGGTTGTGTGCTTGTACATAGCAATAATTTTAAGCACTTGCTTCGCTTTTTCTAAGGGCACCTCCTGAGTGTCACGGGAGTTTGTCACTGGCTTGTTGTCATTGTTCTCCAGCCTGATGTGTCGAAGCTGGTTGTTGGGAACATCTTTCACAAAGATCCACTTGACGTCAAACTTCCCCTTCCATTTGTCCTGGGACCAGACACCGGCACTGGTGCCGTAGTCCACCGACGACTTCATTTCTGCTACCCCACAAAAATGTCCGCTGCCGTTGACGCTGAAGAGTAAATAGACCGGGCCTTTACTATTCATAGAGCGGAAAGCGCTGTCCAAACGTTTGTTGCCGTGTTCTGTGCTACACCAAATGGAGTACTTGATGGAACGGTGGATATCGTCCTCAGAGTAACTCTTGATGATGAACACGCGCCCATTTTTGAGGTTCCACTCAAAATCCTTAGGGTTGTAACTGTGAGCGGCTTTCAGTTTTTCGAGGACAGGGTGGGATTCGCCGCCGCCGCCAGGGATGGCGTTCGCTGGGGTATTCCCGGGCGGGTTGCTTTCGTTACTGGTTCCTACGCTTTGGCCAAAAGCTGCATTGCGGTTGCGAGGGGCCACCCATCGGTTTTGAGGGGGCGGCGGCTGGGGGTTCTGGTAGGGCAGCTGGGTCAGTGGGGGTGGCTGGGCGGGAATAGGCTGGATAATCTGTGGCTGCGGGATAGACTGAGGAGAAGGGATCTGCTGTTGAGGAGTTGGGATTTTGGGCATGGGGCCTTTATTGTCCCAGGTACCTATGTCCATGTTATGTTTAATAGGCGGCGGAGGCAGAGCTCCTCCTATTACAGGACCGCTTTTCGCTTTCATTTTGGGCTGAGGCTTTGCAGGTTTGCTAGCAATAGCGGCCCAAGAGGTTGGCTTCGACACTGGCAGGTTGAGGTTTGATCCGCCGTTGCCAGACAACGCATTCGCCATCCCGACGCTGTTGACCACCGAGCCTACTGTTTTCACAGCGGAGGTGTTGACGTCCCCGCCAATCTTCAGTCCGACCATTCCCTGTTCGATGCTATTCATCCCGGGTGCTTTATTTAAGGTGTCGTTATGAAATCCGGTCTGCCCGTCCACGATGGTACCCCCGAGGGAGCTGGGTGGGTAACTGTAGCTGCTTCCGTAAGCCGAGTTCTGGGTCTGCTGCCCCTGAGAGCCGCTCGTTCCCCATGCTGAGAAAGGAGGGTTTTCGGGGAAAAAATTAAACCGGTGCGGGTAAATGTTGTTCCCCAATCCGCCAGGCTGTCCAAACACAGCATCGTGCATGAAGTGGTGATCGCCGTTACTCAGCTGTCCATAGGTGGTAAGGTATGGGATAGGAGGGTCTCCTCCGGTTGACCAGGGGGCTTCACTCAGAGAGTAGGGAAAGCTAATAGAAGGTGGATAATAACTGGACAGGTAGGGATCAGTCATTGATGGATAGCTGTTGCTCTGTTAAATGACAAAAACAGCGATTTCAGATCGAGTTGTTTATTACAACATTATTTAAACTAGAAAAATACTCAGGAAAGTTCAAATCCACTCTACAGTATAAAAGACTGTGAGGTTCTTGGGCTTTCTCTGAGCTTGGTGGTTTTCTAACAGACGTTTCACGGCCAAACTAGGTAACATCGTCAATGTTAGAAGGCAGTGGGGTTTGCACTGATGATGTTACCCACTTTAGTAATGAAAATGTTTTGTTCGAAAATATGCAGTTTGGATAAGTGAGAAGTTATTTTTAAACTGGAACTGGGTATGTCTAGTTTAATGAAGAGAAGGACGAGGGGGGACACGATAGCAGCGTTCCAATATCTCAGGGGCTGCCCCAAAGAAGAGGGAGTCAAGCTATTCTCCAAAGCGCCTGAAGGCAGGACAAGAAGCAACGGATGGAAACTAATCAAGGAGAGAAGCAATCTAGAACTAAGGAGAAACTTCCTAATAGTGAGGACAATTAACCAGTGGAACAACCTGCCTCCAGAAGCGGTGAATGCTCCAACACTGGAAGTTTTTAAGAAGAGACTGGACAGCCATTTGTCCGAAATGGTAAAGGGTTACCTGCCTGAGTGGGGGGTTGGACTTGATGACCTCCAAGGTCCCTTCCAACTTTATTATTATTATTATTATTATTATTATTATTATTATTATTATTATTATTATTATTATTATTATTATTAAACCACCAAGCTCAGAAAGCACCAAAGAACCCACAGTTCAATCCTGAGCTACAAATATTCTTTTATTGATAAATGACCGCAAAGGCCTTAAACTTGAAAACATTATCTTGCTTCTTAACTCTTTCAAAGTTAAGGCAGGACAATTCATTCATATGGTTTCTCACCAACTGCTTCAAGGATTAATCACAAGACACAGAGCAATTTGAGTAGACATGTTTTGTTCGAAAATATGCAGTTTGGATAAGTGAGAAGTTATTTTTAAACTTCTTTCACAGTACACTAATATTATAATGCTAGAGCTAAATTAATCTGACTGCTTTTGAGCTGTTCTCAAACAACATATAATTATGCTGTTATATTAAACCTTGGTAAAATCAAATATTTGTAGATTCTTTGACCAAAGCATGTAGTGATTTGAAACAAGGTAGATTCCTCTGTACAAATTATGCATTTTTTTAAAAAAAACTGAGGACTAAATGCAGACTCCAGAGTGTTCTCATCTACCCCAAATTAAGGAATATAATAAAAGTTCCACATTTTATTCATTAATCTGTCGTGTTACTGATTTTCCCATAATCATACAAATTCTGGCCTTTTAAAATCATTGTTACTACACTGTCTCTTTGTTTCATGTTTTGTTTGCTCACATAATCATTAATTTTCTTTACATTCCACACTCATTCTGGATTCGACTTACCTATTTAAAATTACATTGCTTAACTGTCCATTCTGCTAGCTATTTTTGAAAACATCCTTCTACTTAGTGATTCCAGTTCAGTTCACTTCTAGGCTGATCCAGCAGCACCATTTTTTTCTCAATATTTTCTGCAAATCTACCTTTTTTGCATGCTACATTGGTTCATTTTCTGTCAACGCACATCAAACTTTCACTTAGTTTTTAAACTGCACCATATGAACCAGGAATCTTCATACTATACTATGTAGCCAGTGCTATGTTCACTTAATGTCTCTGAAAGCTCATCTCTTCTGTTTACCTTTTTCTACAGCTTGAAATGTTCCCCAGTACAATGCCCTTTGTATATGCTTTAGAGATTGGCCTAACCTACACCAGAGCAGTACATGGAATGGAAAATTTATTCTGTGAGTGGATGCTGCTCTATCACTATTGACTACACATTAATTTTTCAGAAGACTAGTATATCCTTCGAATTGGCGTACACACTCAAATCTTTCAAAATTATTTGAATGATGTTTAATCCATTCTGTGAAACTGAAGCCCATTTTAGTCCATTATTGACTACAGCAAATATAGAAGTCAGCCATAAGACAAAATAACCGAGTTCTTATCAATAAGAAGACCCTATCACATCTGGCAGAAGAGGCATGTTATAGATGCCATCTGCCAAAGAGGTAAATTTGGCGGAACTCAAAGAGGTGGGCCTTTTCTGCAATGGTGCCCACCTTATGGAATATCACAGCTCCATGCCATAAACCTGGTTGTGTCATCAGGCCTGGGGGCCTGAAGTGACTGGTGAGATTCCATTGTTGTTAATATCTGCTACTCTTTTTTAACCTTTGAATAACAATTTTTAATTTTGTGTTATCTGTACCATTTTATGGTTTTTATTGTAGGCTGCCCAGAGTCAATTTTTTCATGAAATGGGTCACCATATAAATATGATCGATAAGTAAATCAATACAATTTGAAATAGGAAGTCCTGAAGCTGGATTACAGAATAGAAAAATACTTCTTTATAATACTACATGATTTAATAAAAATTGGAAATATCAATTTAAGCCCAATCAAATCAATTCAATTTAATATTCTAAAATTGTAAAAATTTCAACTTTAACCCACAAAAAAAATTGTTTTTACTTTGCAAAATGAGTACTGTATAAAGAAGTCATAACATTCAGGGCTAATGTGGGTTTACTTAAGCCAGTATTATTATTAGAAATTCAATGAGAATACTATGAATTAAACTACAAGAATAATATGAATTATAAGCGCCTTTGATTGTATCTGTGCTAGAAAAAAATTCCTTTTAAATAAATTTCATTGCTTCCAACTGACATATGCTTAAAATCCCTTTTAAAAAAACCCAATCACTTTTCAGGCATATAGACTAACCTGATTTGACTGTCCAGAAAGATAAGGCTCAAAATCATTGTCATGCACTGTATCCTTCTGATGAAGAGAACCATTTTGCACTGAAACAAAAGAGCTACAATTATAACACGCATACTTTGAAGTTTCGATAAAGATCTGTTTTCTAAAGCATGACAGCATACACAAATAGAACTGTGTTTATTGGACAGCATTATCTATTTAGAGAAGGGGAAAAGGTCAGATTTCAACATGATGAAAAACACTTCCACATGCCCTCAAGATATCATTGTTCCTTATAAAACTATCTAAATGACAGTTACTGAATACCTCACAAACAGGTTTTTCAACAACCAGCAACACAGTTTTGTTAAGATCAAGAGTAAGGACTCAGAGAATGAATTAAAATATACTTGTCCACAAAAGGAAAGCTGGAGCATTTAGTGTGAGCAGGAAGACAAATCTGGGAGGCCTCCAAGTCAGCAAGGCATGCCAGAAAAAGATCAATAACATACTGAATGAATGGCCTTTATAAAGCTCAACCCTTGAAGGTGTAACATGAATTCAGTATAGCACTTGTTAGTGGCAAGTTAGATTGATCTAAATAAGCATACTTCTTTGTTTTATACGATAGGCACCTCACTAATAGTATTTAGTAACTTGTGGTGGTTTCTGCAACCTTTGGAATTTCACTCTAATAAACTTTTTACATGTTCCTCAGTGTGGTAATTCATTAGCACAGACAGGATTTTACAAAACACAAGTTGCCAATCATGGACTACATTCTGTCGTAATAAATAATGAAGACGAATGCTAGATATGTTCTAAGGCATGCTCTTATTTCACCCAAAACCCCAATGTGATTTTTTTTTTTAAAAAAAAAACCCTTTCATTTCATTTTTAATTTAATTGGTTGTTTTAATGGTTTTTATGTACTTTTATTGCTTTATTGTGCACACCACCCAGTGTCATCATATGAGACAGGCAGTTATGGGAATGCGATTAAATGGATTTACATATGTACAGACACATATACAGAAATTATACAGAAATTCCAGCGCAAATGATAAAGTGCTGACCAGCAAAAGAAAAAATTGACAGCCATTAATAGAAATGCATATGTACATTGCGATCACCAGAAAATTCTGAGTTATGTATATTATATTGATCGTGAACATTTATATACAGGTAGTCCTCGACTTACCACCATTCATTTAGTGACCAAAGTTAATAATGGCACTGAAAAACTGACTTGACCATTTTCATAGCATCCCTGTGGTCTTTGCAACTGGTTCATATCTGAGCCAGTTGCATGAAGATGGGCTCCAGCACGAATCCAAAAGCTCGGAAGGCAAAACTTCCGAACCGGATAACCAACCCAGATTGGATCCTGGTTCATATTTATGACAGTTGCAGTGTCCTGGGATCGTGTGATCCCCTTTTGCAACCTTCTGATAAGCAAAGTCAACAGGGAAGCCAGGTTCACTTAACAACTGCGATATTAATTGCAGTGATTCACTTAACAACTTTGGCAAGAAAGGTCATAAAATGGGGCAAGCTCACTTAACTGTCTTGCTTATCAGCCTAACAGAAATCTTAGGCTCAATTGTGTTTGTTACGTTGAGGACTACCTTCATATATATATATATATATATATATATATTATGTGTGGTTGAGTTTATTGGGCTAATTAAGCTTTAGCTTATGGAATTAAATTTGCTGTAGTGCTATTGCACTGAGGAATAATTTGAATTGTATTTCATTTTGCTTATGTAGTTTATACTGTATACTGTTAACTAGAAGCTTAGTTAATATGAAATAAAAAATTAAACTATGCTATAAATATATAAACCACCAGATACTTTACTTTTTTATAGGCACACATACACACAGGTAACCCTCAACTTATAACACAGTTCGTTTAGTGACAGTTCAAAGTTACAACAGCAATGAAAAAAGTGACTTATGACTTTTTTCCACCTTTACAACCATTGCACCATCCACGTGGTCACGTGATAAAAATCCAGATGCTTGGCAACTGACTCATACTTATGACGGTTGCAGGGTCCTGTGATCCTGTGATCCCCTATTGTGACCTTCTGACCAAATCAATGGGGAAGCCAGATTCACTTAACAACCATGTTACTAACTTGACAACTGCAGTGATTCAATTAACAACTGTGGCAAGACAGGTCATAAAAGGGGGCAAAACTCACTTAACCAGTTTTGCTTAGCAACAGAAATGTTGGGCTCAATTGTGGTCGTAAGTCAAGAACTAACTGTAGCTGTATATGCTACAAATACATAAGGCTAAAAATTCTTGAAAAGTTAAAATTCCCTGTTATCTATAAATGTAAACACATTATAGAATCTCTTTCATAATAAGGAACATTTCTTTGAACATGTAAATGTTGTTACCTTATTTTTGCATTTTGATGCTAAAACGTCAGGATTAATTTGCTATTGCTAAGAATAAGAGGTGCTAATTATATTCAAATTCACGGGATTGGTAGTTTTGCCATTAATCTATTGTCTTTCGTGAACTCCCCCATCAAATATTGCTATTTCAGATATAATCTCTACATCTTTGCACTCCCAAAGAAGTTCAAATTTTGGAAGAAGTGCTGTAAAAATAGCTTCAGTGGAAAAAGAGGAATGATGTGTCAAGTCTCATGATTTATAATCCCATAATGTTCTAATGACAGGAGTTGTACTTGCAGTACAAAATTATCATCCTCTTGGAAATTTATTACTTTTTAGTTTTGATTTTTCTTAAGGGGAAAAACTCTTTCGAAGAGAATTTTCTGACTTTTACAAAGCAAACGATATAAGAAACATGAGCCTGCAGAGAATATTGTTTTAATAATGTTGAAGTTTTAAGTTTGTTATAACTTGCTCTGTGAGGTTTTTAGTCTGAAAAGCATAGAAATTAATACATTTTAAGATTTAAGATGAAATCCTAGATAAAAATCCAATGAGCTGCACAGACACTTATGGGACTGAATTTATATATAGGAATAAACATCACTGAGAGTTATAAAGAAATAACAAAAACACAGGCTTTTCATTTTTTTAATGTATCACAACCAAACATTTGCATGCAAACATTCAGATAAATTTATCTTTAAGATCAGAACTTGTCTTACCTTTATTATCCTGCCCTTTCGCTCTCTGTCATGCCATAGCACAAGGTACAATAAAAGAGACAAAACAAATATTTGTCATTTGTTGAGACCTTAGAATAAAACAAACTAGCTATTGAAAATGTGTAACAGTGATACAATATTGTATTATGTATTCAAGACAATTACTTAGGTAATTCTCAACCACAAGATTTTCTCTGGCTTCAACTTTACTTTCTGCAAGTGTTATGTCTTTGGTTAAATATAACTTGGCCTCAAAAATATTTGTGTTAAATCCGCTTACAAATAGTTAATAAGGTATCATGGCCTTTCAGGAGTTTGGAAACAAACAACAGCCACATGTTAATAATATAATGCAATAATGATTATTAAGGAGTCAGTATTTTTTTAAAGAGGCAAATATTGGTAATTTGAAATAAAAGGCTGGAGAGTAAGAAATTCAGAGTTACAGACCACAGAGAAAACATGTAGCTTTTCAAAATAAATATTACCATGTACACTATTGATATGCAATATATTTTGAATCTGAAATGCCTCTTTTGCATCTGAAGCAGGCAGTGCCTACCACACAGAAGTGTTTTGAGCACAGTTGTTTTGAACGTGAAATACTTCCCAAAGGGCTTGAATTCAAAACTTTTCACAAACCCTTAATATGTATTTTAAGTTACCAGATAAAACATATAAAAGAAAAAGGAATGACTTCTTGGAGGACCTAGAAAAGGCAGCAAACCCTCCAAGTCTTAAAATATGATCCAGTGTGCGGGAAAGTCCTGAGAAATGTCTCTTGACACAATGAAAAGGCAAGAAATGACTGGGAAATAACCTTAAGTAACAGCTATGTAGCCTTAGGTAAGCCATTATGTCTCAGATTCAGATCCCTTAACATGTGAATTATACTATTTATCTATTTTACAGCACTAGTAGAATGATAAAAAAAACCACTATTTAAATACTACAAATAAACAGCCGGAGAAGGCAATTATAAGAGCAAAGACATACTTTTGCAGTTATGAGGAATAGTGCTTTTGTGAGTTTTCTTTTTTTTTTTTAAATTCCTCTTGGGATACAAAATTAGATGGGAATATTCACTCCCATGTAAAAGCCAAACTCCAAGAATGAGATTGATCTTTAAAACTGAAAAGTGGGATGGCCTGGTTCTACCTATGAAGACCAGAACAGTTGACACAAGAAGGAATGATTATAGAAAAATTATTAAAACGTATGCCTAAGGGTTGATGCTCCAACAGAAGCATGAAGCAAGCTCACCGAGATCAAGTACAGTCAAAGAAAATAAAAGTAGGGCCTAGCAGAGAAACAGGAAGCTGAAGCTAGCAAGAACATTCCTGCGGAAATAGTAGCTTAAAGCTTGTTCGGGATACAGAAATTTAATATCCAGGGATCTGGGTCTTCAATAACTATCTAAAAATGGCTTGCTCTGATCTAACCCAAGTCCAAACTCAGATCCGCCATCCAAGGTGCGCCGAAAGATGTGGCGGATTCCGGTTCTCTTGGACTCAAGAGCTCTGGAGGTGGGTCGTCCCCTCTTTTTTATATATATATTCTGACATTAAGTGGGCCCTCAAAGCACCAGGCAGTCCTCTAAAGCAGTGCCCCGAAGGCGGCTCTGCACGGGAGAGCCAGCAGCAGCCCAAAATCGAAGGTAGGGCTGGGCCACCTTTTAGTGGCCAAGGCCCGTACTTAACAAAGGCCCTGAAGGAAGGAAGGAGGAGGAAGGAGGGAGGGAAGGAGAGACGGGAAAGCCAAGCCGTTCGCCCAAAGAGCAGAGAAAGGGGGGGGGGCTTCTTCTTTGAACCCCTGGCCGAGTCCATTGCTTTCCCCCCCCCCGGGCGGGTTAGACTACATCTCCC